ACTGTGTCCCGAATCAGCTTAGCATGCTGACCATAGACATGGTTGCTTGGCTCTATGGATTGGTTCTGATAAGAACCCGGATAGTACAAATATGACTTATGTTCCCTGAACAGAGGTTCCTTCCAGGCCGCGCTCTTCTGAGAGAAGGGAGATCTTAAAATTCTAAGACGGCATTTCGGACGGTGCCAAGGTGGCAAGTTCGCAAACGAAATGTTGCGTCTGCCACTTACTGGCTTGTGGCTCAGTAGAAGCGTCAGTCGAAGGATTGTTGTTTTTATGTTTGACAAGCTATTTCTTTATTGTTCAACCCGAAAAATGAGCTAGGGGAGGTATAATCTGGTCATGAGTACCACGGCATGCGCTCTTCAGTCTTTGTGAGCACATATAGAAGCTGCGAGATAAAGTTGCGTATGAGATCCGAAAAAAGTGGCAGGGACTTTCAAGACGACCCAATATGTAGCATGGAAAGGTGCACTTACTTGGACTCAACTGAGGAGGGAATCTATATATATTCATTAAAATCATTGTTATTCCGTAGGCGATATTGTTTGCCATCCATTGTAATGCTGTGTATTTCAAATTGGAATTCCAACTTATCGTCGTAGTACTAGCAGTTCTACGTTTAGGCGATGGTACAAAACAATCAACGAAGATTGCGAAGACACCGGTGAGTTAGCATTGAAGGTGCCAACCATTCATTATCACGATCTGTTTGCCTCATCCAACATTGAGTAAAAGAATGTTCACTGCGAGGGGGTGGGCATGTCCTTCACAATCACAGGCACATTGCGACTTGAGAACGCTTCTACTGGAACCAAACGCCAGCACTCCGCCTTCTCCCCCATTTTTTACCCTTAAAGGCGGAGTTTACGATTTGCACGCAGCCCATGACAATAAAGGTGGTCAATGATGCCGGGACGAAGAAAAAATCGTACGAATTTGCCCAGAACCCGAGCAGTGCAACCCCTTATCCGTAGATTCCCGCACGTAACTATCATCGGTGCTGCTCTCTTCGGCGCCGCTTCTCTGTCTCGGCTTGAGACCTACGAGTGATTAGCCAGTAGGGGAGGGGGGTACTAACTGGCTCTAGATGGTTTTGTGGAAGAGTTAACCAAAGGAGATTCATTAAGAATAGGCATGGCTGGCAAAAGGCTGCCATCCGAATGCATTGGGTTGACGCTGACCGTCATTATTCTTTGCTCCGCAGAACGCTGTGACATCAACGGGTACATACCGAAGTGCGCGCCTCTAGTAAGATTCTATCGCCTTCACTACTGAGTATGGCTTGCTCACCACGGACCGGTATGACCATCATTCTCGGTACGACATCAACCACTACTTGGCGTGCTCGCATCTTGAATTGATTGTTCCCCGGATTGTCTGTCACACGTGATTGTGTCGCATAGTGTATCTATACAATCGCGATGGTAATGTTTTACCACCAAAGGACGAGGCTGCTATAAGTAGCGCTTTGCCGTACGCGCTAATGCTTGCTGAAATACCAAATCTCACGCTTGGGTGGAACAATCCATCATTATTGAAGTTGGCATGATTGTACATCTTCTAACCAATGAGTCTGGTAAAATTAAATTAAATTATTAAATCAAGTTTGAATCAAATTTCCTTGCAGATAGCTTGTCTGAAATGCAAGAATACTATACCAGCTGGAACTTCGTTCTATGTAGTCGACCACACACCGAAGTGCATTCGCTGTTGCGTTGTGCGTTCTTTCTTTTCGAAAAAAATTCAAGTTACATAGCTAAACAGGGAAAACTTTTGGTCGGCACAAAAAGTTTCCCCACTACTCCTTTGCGATTCCTATGAAGGAATTGATTTGGTTGAACATTTGAAGAAGCTGTCTAGTTTCGGTGCCTCTTTGTCAAAAGGCTTTCGAAACTGGAAAGCATAAGTTGAAAAACAAAGGAATCGTCAATCGCTGTTTTGTGAGATATTAGGGCCACCAACGGCAGCCTAGAGTGTAAGCATAGGTAGACCTCAGGTTGGACCGCGAGTGTGGAGGTGACCCTTTCAACCGAACCCATGGCGTTAGACCCAGATCAAATCCTACCTGATAAACACTTCTACTAAGTTGCTCGAAAATTGAAAAATACACTCTTTTATTGCTTAATATTCAGGAAGATGGCATCAAGGCATCGCCGAAAACTTCTCCGAAGCCGGTAAGCTTGTTCTCCATCGTCTCTTCAGTAGTTTCATCATCTGCATCCTACTTGAACCGTAATTGATGCAGTACAATCGCTCAAATACCGGTTTGCTAGTGTCACCGTTTCCCATCCTCTTTCTAACTGTCTTGTCTCTTCACACAGTCACGGTTGTGACGTCATGAGATGGATAGCAGGCGGGGTTCGTGGTTTCGGTCAGCAAACTCGGTAAAGCGACTAGCTTAAGTAACATTAGGCAGCTTCATTACATGATCATGACCCCTTCCATTTAGTAAGCGAACACCGCGCGTGTGAAGCTGCACGCACGGCAATGGGCTTATAAGATAGGTATCTCCTACGCCCCACAGCTCCATATGATTCATACTGTTCCTACTATCTATCATTTTGTGATTCGCATTGATGCACTACCTCCTCTCCCCTACTTCACATATTTCTAACAACCGTAACGCGTCCCTCTTACCGTTGCTGTCCGCTCTCATCTACACGTCTAACCAACTCGAATTGGTATTTTCCATACTCCCCCCTGACAGTGTCATTTCTTCCCTCTTCCCTGGCGATTCAAATAGCCTCCTCTCCTCAACGCTCGAATGCATTAGCACACAACTTGATCTCGGGCTGTGTCCTTTAGGTCCCTAACATTAAATGTTCATTTTCAGGTATCCTGTAAGAAGTGCAACAAAGAGATTCCTGCAGGGACGCCATTTTATGAGGTTGATCGCGCACCAAAGTGCGAGGAATGCTGTACTGTACGTTCTCCCTACCTTTTTTACTTTTGCTGCACGTCTTCTGTTAAGGATTCTGATCTCAAGATCATATGCTTCTGCGTCAGGTGATATCTGGCTACTCACCTGACTAGCAGTTCTTGAAGAAGCCGTGAACCCTGTATCGCTGCGCTTTTCGGTGGCGATTAAAAGGCCGCGCTTATGAATTCATGGTTTGTGTGGCCTTCATGGTTTTAGTGTATACGCAAGAGAGTGGGCTGAGGAGGGTCATGGGAGGGTTGCTCGTCCCGAGCCCGCTACAGTGAATAACAAGAACATCCGTAATAACTTCGTATAGCATACATAGCCACAAAGTTTAACTTATGATTAAACAATGATAATGTTGATAATCTCTTGAACCTGATAAACACGTCAAAGTGCTACTTGGGTCTTAGATGGTAGAAGACGCCTTCAAGAATCGATGTGAGCTTATTTGCTGAACATCATTTTATTCAATGTGATTTCAGGATGATGGTGCCAGACCAACTCCGAAGGTCGCTACAGAGCCGGTGAGTGTCATTATCAACTGAAATGTAAAGCTTTGCTAGGCTAAGCTAGGCTTTGCAATCTATCACATACTACTGTGGCCAGAATTGCCTAAAAAATGAAATTCAAAGTATGAAACCTACACAACCATCAATGTGAAGATCATCGGTGTCATATTTTCATCCTCATGTTTCCATATTTCCCAATGCACTACTGCATTGGCCTCTGATCTTTGGAAATTCCTGGTACGCATTCCTAACCTGCTCGAATTAATCAAACACGACCTTGAAAGGAGCGGATGAGACCATGATCGGCCGAAACAGCGTCTGGACTAAAACTTGATGTGGGAGCATGTCGTCAGATCCGATTTTTTTGTCTTCCATGGTGTGGGCCTCTGAACTCGAAGGGTCGGAGTTTATTCCCCGTGATGGCGAATAAGGACGTGCTAATCGTAGTGTTCAATGGCACCAGTCAGGATGAACGAGTGACGAATTCCACGAACTCCATAGACAGTTTTAACACTCGCTGACACCTCACAGGAGAGTAGATTTTTGTTATGGTTTTCCTATCCTGTAAGTACTGTGTGAGAGAAATGTGACCATAATTAGTTTAGGAAGAACAATGGAAGTTATGGTGATTAGTACTAATCCTTAAAATTTTTCTATCGCGTCGAATGTGTTTCAGGCACTTTGCAAAAGTTGCAAGAAGGATATACCAGCCGGCACGCCGTATTATGAAGTCGACCACTCACCAAAATGCGAAGATTGCTGCATTGTGAGTTGCCTTTTATCTATAAATTTCCCTAGAGCTGAGAAGAAGTCATAATTCTTCCTTACTTACACTTTGTATGGCACTTTAACGACGCGGCCAAGGCACCGAGGTAACACTGACCATATCAGCTCAGAAAGGTATGAATTGCTACAAGGTCCTTAGGGAAATTCCTTCCTTGAGCGAGGTAGTAGGACCCATACTCACAGTGGTGGTGGTACTGTCACGACACGAGTACCCGGAAAATGACCTGATGCCTTTGCTTGACCGCTGCTACCGCTGCGATCCTTACCAATCGGTTGCGCCCTCTCACGTACGACGTGCTCTTCCGCA